TTCTGTCAGTAATTACTCTCCCTCATGTTGTTCCAACCCCGTAAGACTTTCGTTCATCTTCGGAACACAAATTAAGATATTTTTGATGAAATCTGAGAGCTGGATCACTCCTCCATAGGCTTCTTAAGGGATCAAGACTGGCCGGCCCAAAAGTTATGAAAGACATCGTTAAAATAGTCCGAGTGACGACAGTGGCTCCACCTTAAGTTTATCAAGCGATGAGAATACTTTTTGTGCGCAAAAAACAAACAAAAATAACGACTTTATTCAACTATTCATTTCCTTCTCTGTACGGCCGTGATATTTCACGTAGTGATATTGCGCAAAGCTTCTAGGTTGCACGTCACACGCAGGCTCACTATTGGCCGACGCTGGTCATGTGTGTGATGGGTGACGTACAACCTAGAAGCTTTGCGTAGTTTCACTACGTGAAATATCACGGCCGTACAGAGAAGGAAATGAATAGTTGAATAAAGTCGTTATTTTTGTTTGTTTTTTGCGCACAAAAAGTATTCTCGTCGCTTGATAAACTTAAGATTGAGCCGCTGTAGTCACTCTGACTATTTTAACAATTTCTTTCATAACTTTTGGGCCGGTCAGTCTTGATCCCTTAAGAAGCCTATGGAGGAGTGAGACAGCTCTCAGATTTAATCAAAAATATCTTAATTTGTGTTCTGAAGATGAACGAAAGTCTTACGGGGTTGAACAACACGAGGGTGAGTAATTACTGACAGAATTTTCATTTTTGGGTGAACTAACCCTTTAAGAAATTTGCTGGAAACAAAGCACTATGAAGTGAGAGGATGTTTATTTATTTTCTTTATTTTGTTGCTGAGTATGTAATTTTTCTCCAAAAATGACAAAACATATATACAATGAAGGATGGTGGCCATCCTGGCGCTGTTTGTTTGAGTGTTTCAAAGAGTCTGTAAATGTGCTGACCAAGACATTTCACAATGTTATCTGTCCACAGTGTCTGTTCCTTTTCACAGTGTGTTCTGCGTGTGGGAAACCCTAGTATCGGACATAAAGCAGAGCTGAGATGACTAATCTACAGACCGGCTCGCTGTAACTCACGCACACTTCATTCTGCGAGCGAGACTGCGCTGTCTGTCCATGAGTCCATAACAGAGGGACTTTGAGGTCTGATTGTGGGTCAGATGGGGTAAAAATGTGAAATAACACCTATATATAGTGAACTATTTTGCTGCGTAAAGTCGGCCTTGAAATCTGGCAATGGTTTAGTTCTGGAACAGCTATCATGTTGGATGCGTGCCTATGATGCCTTAATTTAAAATGCAAATTAACACAGTTCTTTGTTTGCAATAGTTGATTGCAACTTTAATCTTTTAATTTCTCAATTGCGTGCATTATAAACCAAGAAGATCTGTATGCATTACAAAGAGGATGTTTCAGTAGTTTATAAAGTTTTAATGAAGACAAATAATGTGCGGCGGTAGCATGTAGATGCTAGTGAACTCTTTTGTTTTGACTAGCGTGGCTTCCTGCACGTCTGAGGCTCGTTCTGTGGGCTTGTAATGTAAACTACACTCTTAACAGCTCAGCTGTCACTGCATAATGAAGTGTTTCCGTGCATGATTAACAAAATGTACTGCTGGTTTCATTCTTGATAAGTGTGTGTGTGTGTGTGTGTGTGTGTGTGCGTTGTTTTTGTTGTCAGCGAGTTCAGTTCAGTGAGTGTAAATGTGTTTATATTGTTGAAGTGTCTGTGGTAAACTGTATTGTCTGAAGAAACAATTTGCTTATGCTTGTACAGAAACACTAAGGATCTGTTCCAGAACTACTGTAGTGAGCTGAGCTGAAAACTAACCATGAAAATTAAAAATAAAATAATAAGTGTGTGTATAAATATATCTTTATATATACTGTATATAAATATTTTTTATATATATATATACGCACTATATATAAAATATATATGTTACATGAAATGTAACAAATATTATTTATATTATAAAAAAAATTATTTATAATTTTGTATGTATGTGTGTGTATATATATACACACACACAAGAAATGTATTGTTATGGCTGAAAAATAAAAAGTAAAACTGCTTACAATATCGTTTACTGTGTGATTGACATTGACATTTTTTTTAAAGAATAAAATACTTTGTTTATACTTGATTTACTTTTTATTTGATTTATGCTGAATGAAAAAAAAATATATAAAATGCAGTATTGCAGTAATAAAAACTATAGAAAAAGAAAAAAAAAACACTGGCCAGGAAAAGATTGAATGTAAGCAGCGACCTTGTGTGAAATGAAATCAGTCGTCACAGACCTCTGTTGTGCGAGAGAAAGTAGAGATCAGCTGTGCATTTTTATTTGAGTGGGAAATATGATACAGTTTACAAGTAGATATTTAACAGTTTTATTGAAATATAACATTTCTATATTTACAGCCTGCTTGTCGTCTCTTGTGGCTGAACTGCACCGTGTGTTATGACCAGGGTGGCCATTTCCATAACACCAAAAAGGAGGATACTTTGTGGCATTAAGTGAGGCAAGAATAATTGCATCTGGTGTACTCGCAACTACAATACAATTGTGTCCATCATATCGATGGTATCATGATACAGTGATTCTGAAATAGCCTACTCTATTCATTGCCAGACAATTTGATCTACGATATATCTTGACGTAGACCTGTGTGTAACAGAAGAGGCAAAAAAGTGTTTGTTCACAGTATTTGTATTTATTCAAGACATTGTGATGTCCGTTTCAAAAACTGACCACTGAGATGAACCTGTCTTGCAAAGTGCACAGTGCCTGAAAACATAACATTTCTGGACTTCTGGAAATAAAAGAAATACATAAACAAATAATGAATGCGAAAAATAAATAAATACACATTTCCGTTCTTAAAGCAACACTGAGTATGATATTTTACCTTAAAATAATGTTTCCAAAATCGTTTCAGTGGTTTATTAAGTCGTAACAGGGTGAAAGGCACTTCTGGATTCGCTTTGCGGTCCTATATCTGCTATAACCACGCTATGTAACATTGCCAGATCGGGTCGCGTTTCTGTAGTTCTAATGAGACATAAGAAAACTACAAATTTGACTTGCTTTACATCAAGCGTTACAATAGTCATTATTTTGTTTTTCTTCGTTTCTGATGTCGCAATACATCATACTTTCATGAAATCATGCAACATACTCTACCTTGTCTGTGGACATCGTTCATCCCAAAGCCGGTGCTGATAAACAACAGCGCGCGTGCGACAGTAGGCTGCGCTAGGATAAATTATTTACCACAGCGGTAATGGACAATTCCGCTTCCAACCTGTAGGGCGACCGAAGAGGAAAAGTTACTTGATGTTGCTTTAACAAAGAAGTTCCCCTCTGCAGCAGCTCAGGCGACAACTGCACTTCATATAAATTTGTGCTTTTTTGTCCATTCTGGATTAAATGAGGTCTGACGTTTTGGCATGTTAGCTAGTCCCTCTAGAAAAACGCAATTATGCGATCGCTGAATTCAATGCATAATCAGCCAAAGTCCGTATATTTATGCGGGGGTCGCATTTTTTTCAAATACTCCGCAATTTCGCCGCATAAATTGCTGATTTCCGCGCAAAATATGCGGGGCTTGCATGATTTCATAATCCCCGCATTTTCGTGGCAAAAAAGTCACATATATCTTAGCAGAAATTTGGAAAATGTTGCGTTTGCTTCACACAAGAGCAGCCACTTCCCCCTGTTGCCATGGGAACGTTATGAAGTGACGTAATTACGCGACGTGAACATCATCGAAAAGCTGTAAAACAGGAGCACACTTTATTTTTAAATATTTCATTTTTAGTGAAGTTGTAGCATATTCCTCTAGTAAAGCTACAGAACTTGTTTGTTTTATCAAACAGAAATTACCCGCACACATGGGGTGTTCGAGGCGCAGGGCACATACAATACTGCAGACAGTTGGGAGCGCGCAGCTCTTAAAGGGGCCACGCCTTATTTCCACTCGTTACAGTCTGAAATAAAACAAGAAATTAAATATTTCCAGCACTTTCTGTGATGTGGTATGCTTGCTTATCATAGGAAGTAATAAGAAAGGACTCTTTACATTAAGGTAGTAGCCTAGTCAGAACAGGGTGTTGGGGGAATCACTTTTTTCTCTCTTTTTCATCAAACCGCAGTTTTTGCAAGTTCCCGCAATTTCATCGCAAAAATTTGCATAAATATCCCGCATATTCCATCGCATTTTTAAAGAAAACAGGCCGCGTAATCAAGGAATTTTGCCCGCAACAATCACAAAAAACTCTGCGTTTTTCTGGAAGGACTGGTTAACGTTATGATATGACATAGCCAGCACGTGAAGGCTTGTTTACGTTTTTAACCAATGATATAGCAGATATTTATTTGACACCGCTTTCAGCCAATCATTTGTTTGACCAGAGATTTCACGGCATTAGACGCTATGCTGCTGCGTCCCAATAAAGATTCTAGAGCGGGGTTTTTTAGGCCGATTCAGCGCAACTCCAAAAAAGAGGACAAATGAGGCTGCGCCGGACGCCGGACAGGGGGCTTAAAATCCGGACTGTCCGGCCAGAATCCGGACGTATGGCCACCCTAGTTATGACTAATGTACATGTGATGTCACTTTTATGACATCTGATGGACAAGGCCACAAGAACAAGCTTCATTAGGTCATTATAGAGGTCTGATCTGAATCGAATCAGGCCTGAAATAGATGGTTGCAGTTTCCAGGGAGATTGTTGTCAGGACAAGCCTGATGTCTGGAAGCATCGATTAACAATGTTGTTCATTGTGTCTCTGCAGGCTGAAAATACAAACGCCAATGAGATTTTTTATAAAGCATGGATTAAAGAAAGAAAGCTTAGAGTGATTTTAAATAAGCAATGCTCAGCAGGGTTAGTCTGTGAATCAGCGATGTCGTCAGTCAATGGAAAGTCTAGGCCGAAGAGTTGTTGTTTACTTTAAGGTGGAGATGTCATGTACTTGTTTTTCTTCTTTCAGCCGCCTATCCGACTCAACATGATACACTAAACACGCTGGAGCATTATGATGTGATTGAACCACACCTGCTCATTGGAGGACAGCAGAGACCGGTTAGTCTCATCAACTCAATGGTAAGTCACTGGTAAAATCAAGCCCATTTCAATATCTTTTTTTTTTTTTTACATGTTTATTTATTTATTATTTTATTTATTTATTTAATATGGACATAGCAACAACATTGGACGAACCAGATGCATTGTTTAAAGTGTTATAGCACATGTGCTAATTTTCAACACCTGTCCATAGGGGCTTTTATGTTCAGCTTTCTTTAATGTGGGATGTTGAAAATGGTCTGCAAAGTTCCAAAGAACAAAGTCAATCCAATGGGAGTTATTCTCAATATCAGTGTCACTGTTCCTGAACTCCATTGTTGCCTTGAGTTTTTTTATCCGGGAAGGAACACGTCACAATATTCCTCATTTAAATAATTCATACACAGAATAAAGGGGCGGGGCCTGGTTGAGTTAGTTAGTAGTGTGTTGAAACTCACGGTTATGGTAAGGGGCGGGACATTTTCCAAACACGCTCAAAGCACTTGACCAATCACAACACACTGCTCCAGCCGACCAATAAGAGCACAGTGTGATTTTCAGAAGGAGGGGCTTCATAGAGACAGGAACTAAACAGAGCGTTACTGGCAGACTGGGAATAGAGGAGCCGCAACAATGAAAAATATGGGGAAAATAATGTGTTTCAAGCATGAAAAAACTAAATGAAGACTTTTTAAATATGGCATACAGGCATAATAGGTGCTCTTTAGGGTTGCAAATGCCATTATACACATTATACAATGCCATTATACACATCAAAGATTTGTATAATGGCATTAATGGCATCTAAAGATTTGTATACACATTATACAAATCTTTAGGGTTGCAAATGCCATTATACACATTATACAAATGCCATTATACACATCAATACAAGGTCTTGACCAAAAATATATGCACCTCTTGATGGAGATAAATGTTGTGATGTTATTTCCATCAAGAGGTGCATCAATATTTGGTCAAGATCTTGTATTGACGATGCAAGAGTCCAGCTCTCTGTAAAGTCTCCTCCAGCACATCCCAAAGACTTTCAATGAATTTAAGTTCTGGACTCATAAGTGCAAATTAATGTGTGAATATGATTCTTCATGCTCCTCCCAACCATTCTTTCACAGTTTGAGCCTGATGAATCTTGACTTTGTCATCCTATGGCCATGATGTGTTTTCCTAGAATGGTTGTTTAAGAAATGAAAAGCTACACACTCCATCAATTAGGGTTAGAAGAACTGTTGGAAAACATATAACATGATAGAAACATAATAATCTGCAATAACGATCCAGTCATAGACTCTTAAGCATTTGCCTATTTAAATCCAAACAGCGGCCGGGCAGTGTATGTTGTCCTTTTAAGTTTGAAGATAAACGTGTTTAGTACAAACTATGATTACATGCCTGTTCTTTTTTGAACAAGGACTGAGTTTGCACAGTTTGATATGTTTTGGGAAGCAGCAAACAGACCTGCCTGTGAGGGAACATGAGCCCTGGAGGGGAAATGTTGCTTTTGTCCTTAATGAAAAACATTTCTCAACCAATTTATGGAATGAAGACATGCAGGACTGTTTTGAAGCCCATTTGTTTGTTAATTTATTTACTTGGAGTGTGTTGTTTTCTTACTGGAGTTTGTAAAAAGGTTTTATAGCCAATGTTTTACATGTGTACTGCCGTGAGCAACAATCATTAAGAGTAAATCAGACCACCTAGGGATCAGTGTGTGTGTGTGTGTGTGTAACTCTTCCTTACACATGTGAAGAGTCCCCACAAAGATACCAGAACCTAACATAACATAACCAAACATAAATTGTTATTATGACAGTTATGACTTTATCACCCTCATGTTTTTACTAACCCATATGACTTCTCCTGTGGAACACAAAAGAATAAATCTTTACACATTTTTTCCATACAATCACAATTCATAGTAACCACTTCTGTCAAGGTCAAAAAAGGACAAAAAGTGTCATTAAAAAAAAAACACAAAATCACATTTATCTCCAATTATATATTTTAAGGAACAGACAGTAATTTTCCTGTCCCTAAATTCTTTTTTTTAGTTCAGTGGCCCACTTTTATTTTGTCTTCAATTAGTTTTTATTTTATTTTTATTTATTTTTGGAGCTTGAGAGTTGCTGTTACTTTGAACTGGCATTTTTAAAATGGAATGGTGATGATTGAAAGATCATCAAATAAACGTTCCTCAAAACCTGATTCATGAAATACTCACATTTTAATATGATTTTTCTATAAAATGGATAATCAAATAAACCTAAGTTGCTTCAATCCAGTAAGTATTCATCTTGAAATATTACCAATAATTAACAATACCGTAATACTGTAGGCTTTAAAGGGTTAAAATTGATCTTGTGTTCCACATGGAGAATAACAGCATATGCAATATGAGGGTGAATAATTGATGGCAGTACTGGTGGATTTACCTGAATTATTCCATTTAACTTGGTCATTGAAAAAATGCACAAGTTCTCCTTTACAGCCCTTGTAGATTTGCATGCATTTTTCCTTTTATTTATGGTGTTTTGGCTTTAATAGGAAAGTCGAGCGAGGCAGTTACTACAGGAAAATATAGTATTTGAAATGTAGAAATGTGTCGGGACATGACACAGTCTGGACCCCCATCATCACAATCAAGCACATGCGCTATATCCGCTGCGCCAAGGCTTCAACTTTACATGTGTTTTCCAGATCATTGTTCTTCTTCATGACCCAGTTGGCATCGGCTCACTGACTGACACAATGACATTCTCCTGTACAGTTTCCTGGAGCAGCGCAAGAATACTCCCAACACCACACACCGAGGCTTTTCAGGGATGAGGCTTTTCAGCTGGAATGCTGAGTTTTGTTTTTGTGGGACATTTCTTTATACATACTGACACTTTATACTTTAGTTTCGTCCCTTTTTGCTCCAGTCCTCCAATGGCTGTTTAGATCCTCCAGGTGGTCTTCAATAAAATTGAGACGGGAGGTAATGTTATTGTTGGAGACCAGTGATTATTCAGTAATGCGAGTCTCTCTTGTTCCTTTGCAGTAGATTTATTAATTGGAGATTTTGACTTGTCAACTGATTTGTTTACTGACTTTTTATGTAGACCACCAGTAGGGGGAGAATGAATACTTATATAAGCCAGTGTCAGTCATGTCTGAAAGCTTTGTCGAGTTTTTTCGTACTTCTTGCTTTGAGGTTTTGGACTCTTGCAGTGATTTAACTTTGAAACCTCTCTGAGGAACCCTTGCAATGGTGTTAAATTTGCTTCATTTGTTTGCTTAACTATGGATTTTTGGAGGTCAAAGTTGTTAGTGGTGGTTTTGTAACCAAGGGAAATCCATAAAAGCTTCAACCCCCGAATGTCTTCTCGTCAGAGATTTATACATGCAAGAACATGCACTCTTATATCCCACAAACTCCCAACTTATTCCATGCGGTTTAATCATTTTTAAACCAAGACAGTGAATGGTACGTCCATGTGTTCAATAAAGCAATAGGCACAAGATGACGTAGATTACAACGATTTTACCATGGGGAAGAGTTTGGAATCTCGTATTTTACTTCTCTGTTTTTCATCACTTGGATGAAGGTCAGCCCATATACTAGGTCAAGTTTGTGCTAAACACTTAGCAAACGTTCCCTCACGATCTGATTTACCTTGTGTAAATTTGTCACGGCTGTAACCGCGCATTAACATACATATGCAATGACGCATGGAGCTCTTCATGTTAGACAGATGATTCATGCTTATTTCTGCTATATTTTGTCAACGCCTGGCTGCTTTAAATCCATTTCCCTCAGAGCCTCGGAGTAAATCTGCCGAACTTTCAGACTTACAGAGCGTGAAGAGAATTAATGTCAGAGAGAATTGAAACATAAAACTAATCCTGACAGCTATAGACCTACGACACAATGGCGGATTCATTTTATCCTGCATTAAAGCCCACTCAAAGCTGGAAATATACTTTCTCTCGCTGTCTATTGGTCTGAGGCCTTGCATTGTCTGTTACGCAGCAGTTGGATTTCATCTTCCACGAATATAACCACTAAATAACATGAAACGGCTATTGCAACCCATTTCACTTTCTAAATATTTAATGAGAACAAAAATGTAGGACCACATATTTATTATTCAGTCTATCGGGAATATGCGTTTTTGTACTGACCGCTTTTAACATGGTCATTGACTTCAGTTGATACAACTGTGTGAATAAACCAGCTCTTTTACTCACACTATTTACTCAGTAAGTCATGCAACTAAATCCATAAACCCTCACATAACATTTCAAATTATTATCAGTAAATCAAACCCAAGTAAATGTTGAAAAGCAAGCGATCAGACTCTTTGACAGTTTGAAGTGTGCTGATAAGGGTTCACCATCACAACATGGTGTCTAGAAGTGTCACAGGTGTGAGTAATTATTTAATCAACCAATCAGCTGCCATCTTTTCAAGTGGCAATCAACCAATCATGACAACCAGCGTTATACGGGTAGATGCAGATGAAATGCTAATGCAGCAACAGGTGTTTAACGAGACGGGTTAGTCTAATTTTTTTAATCTAACCTCAAAACAGGGAAACTTTTTATGCGTTTTAACCATTCATTTACACGACAACTGCGTTTAGGGGGCCTAAAAATGCAAACTTTTGAAGGCGTTCTTGTTTTTGAAAACGATACCATTATCTGGTGGGCAGATCGAGGCTTCGTCGAACACTGAAACAGTTGAAGCAAATGTGCCGTATTGTGTCGAGGCTTCGAAACAATCCGACACCTCTCTCCACGGTGACCCCTAGTGGTCAGAACAGTGTAAATGCAACAAAAACCTGGGCCAAACATGCATAAAAACACCTTTTTAAAAAAAAAAGGAAGTAAAATCTTTCAAATCCAATTATCTAATCATAATGGTGCGTTCACACCGGACGCGAATAGCGCGTCAGGCGCGAGTGATTTCAATGTTAAGTCAATACAAAGACGCGTTACGCGCGGACAAAAATTCCTGCGGCGCAAATGAGGCGTAGAGCGCGGCGCGGTAGACGCGAATACGCCTCATTCACGCGTCATGTTCGCGCGAATTGAGCAAATTGAGCCTCTGGCGCGTTATGCGCGAATGATTTTATTGAGTGCTTTTTGTGCATTCACGCGTTTGATGCGAATTCGAGTCTGCCACCCGAGTTGAAAAATCTGAACTTTGGCGTCAATTCGCGCCGCCTTAAACAATCAGGAGCCTAGCTGCTTGCTGCTGTCACATGGTGAAGTATCCGGATGCTTCAATAAATTATTTTGTAATATGACTAAATGCCTGTGTGGTTCTAATGCACAACAAAGCAAATATTTGATCACATAAAACTTGATTTCAATATATGAGACATTCATTTTGAATTGAATGCTATTTATTCCATATCTAGATATGAAATATTATTATAATGTAAAGACAACCAACATACTATAGTGCATAAGTTCGTGTCTGGACAGTGTTGTGTGAGAGAGAGAAAAATCACAGGACAGGTTAATCACTTTTGGAGGCTGGCTCCATTTATCATCAACACAAAAATAAATGACATATTAGGTGGATGAGGGCGAGGGTGATCCTCGCTCCGATGCGGGACAACAGGTCATCAAACTGGGCGCGGCCGCGCGGGACAGGCAGAAGTACCGCTGAAAGCGGCCGTCATCCAGGCGGAGCTCCTGGAGCGAGCAAATGGTGAAACTCGCCAAACTGGGTTCGCCTCCGAAGGCTCTGGTGGACACAAATACGGCGACGATGATCCAGACATGCATAAAAACACCTTTTGAAAAAAAAAACCCTGAATATTACGTGTTCAGTCTATAGGCGTGTAGTTTTTCTTTACAAAGTGACATCGCCATCTACTGGCCTGGCAGCAGAATACAGCATTTTTAGTCGTTTTCGTGGATCCATGTGAACAGGGATCGTTTTGACGTTTTGATCGTTTTGTGTTGTCTGTACACGAAAACGCTTCCGGGTTTAGTACATATATATATCTGTGTGTCTTTGTCTGATTTTAGGGGCACCCTGGATCACTGAAGGTGCTGATTGAAGTGGACGGGGAGCAACTGCTACTTGCTTTACAGAAAAATGAGTAAGTCTTTCATTATTTTCTCTCTTTACCAAATAGAAGGTACCATGGTACAATGATGGTAACAGAAGGTAATACCACTTTGATATACAGTATACTATAGCAGCAGGGGTTTTCAATCTTATAGATGCCACGAACCCCTAAATACGATCAAAGGACTCCCATCATATAATTTAAAAGACAAATTTAAATTGTGGTAAAAACAATAATATTGTAAATATTATTAGATTTTTTTTCTATTACATTGCTATGTTTTGTCCCTAATCCCTATAGTACTGTTCGATTTATTTGTTCTAATGCTCTATTATTTATTTGATTTATTTAAATTGTATTTATTTATTTTATAGAATATCTTATTTAAATTTTACTTTATCATTTATTTTTACATGTTTTACACTTTTTTCTTCTAAAATTGTCTACCACTTCTTTCCAGACACTTTAAAGAAATGCTATTATTTCTTTTGTACAGCCACTTTTGTTTCATCCTAATCTAAAACCATTTTATAAATGTGTATCTAGTGGTTCCTTTTGTCTGTAGATTTAACACTATAGAATGGGAGCACTTTCAAACAGAATCTGAATATTTTTGCCCTTTTTTATTTATAGCCATTCTGACTTACTAAATCACAGTAGTCTATTGGAGGAATTGTGGGGGTTCTAGCATAATTTTGACTATTAACAAAGGTTGAAAACATGCATGTAATAAATTTGTATGAGGATAAATTAAATACAGAAACATTTTGCAATTTAAATAAGATAACTATGTGGCTAGACTCTCTTATATAACATCTATATTACTGGCTTGTCAATTCTTGCATTATTGAATAAAATATTGAATATTGAATATTGAAGCTATAAGTTCAGTGTATCATTTATCAAGTATTTGAGTATTACATAAGGCATTGTAGTATATCGCCTTGTAAGAATCCATGTGTCCTGCTTTTAAAGGTTGAGCTGACACTGTAAGTGTGTGTTTCTGAAGTGAAAGAGCAGCGTGAAGCGGTCAGTCAGGTCGGCGTAATGAAGCTTGTGTCAAACGTACCCTCGCCAGCTCTGTTTTTGAATGCAAATGCACATTCGCTCTGACAGATTCATGCTGAGAGCGACAAATCTCCACAACAGTGTCAAATTACTGAATCCACGGCAGAGGGAATGGCAAACGTGGACGCCCGTGATGTGCAGCATATCATGCAGAAAGCCAGTCAGGTTTCTGAAGGGTAGATGACGTAAACCGAGGTCACAGCGTGAGCTGTAACTCACCTCTGATTTTATTCAGGTTGACATTGATGTTCACGGTGAGAGTGATTGAGAACCCTTCTCTGGTAACACAGAGTGTGTGTGAATATGAACCAGAGCATGAAGAGGAAAAAAAGAAACATTCGGAGGGCTGCGCCGGAGTTAAATTTGCAGGGGCTGAATTATACAGTGTTAGTGACCTTGAAGTTATAGACTTCTCAGAGACTACATTCACTGTGCTGCTAAATGTGGCGAAGATTTGTTTTCCTTATCAGACAGTACAATAAAATTGCTTTTTCAGTTCTTTGACTTACTGTAATATTTTGAAATATTTTGTTTCCTATTTGAATATATTTTCATTTATTCCTGTGATCAAAGCTGTATTTTCAGCATCATTACTCCAGTCTTCAGAGTCACGTGATCCTTCAGAAATCAGTATAATATGATGATTTGCTGCTCAAGAAACATTTCTGATTGTTAGCAATGTTGAAAATAGTTCTGCTGCTTCATATTTTTGTAAAAACAGTGATTAATTTTTTTTTTTTTTACTTTAATGATACTTTTATGAATAGAAAGTTTAAAAGAACAGCATTTATTTGAAATAGAATTTTTTTGTAACATTCAAAAAAAGTCTTTACTGTCACTTTTGATCAAAATAATGTGTCGGGACATTTGTTGGGACCTTGTCGGGACATTTCTTTGGTTCCAGTAAGGAAAAACAGCTTATAAATCATATTAAGTGATGTTTTTTGAAAATCTAAAAATGTTGAAAGTTTTCTGTGATGGGTAGGTTTAGGGTTAGGAGATAGAATATATACAGTTTGTACAGTATAAAAATCATTATGTCTATGGAAAGTCCCCATAAAACATGAAAACACAATGTGTGTGTGTGTGTGTGTGTGTCTGTGTGTGTCTGTGAGTGTGTTTCTGTCTGTCTGTCTGTCTTCAGGTAACCAGAACTTAAACTTCAGTGTTATTGTGACTTTTGGCTGGGGTTGGAAGTGGTCAGGCAGTGTTGTGTGGGAATGAAATCCAGCATGTGTAATACTGTATAAGGAAGAGAAAGCGAGAGATCTCGTGTGAGTCTCCTGCTCCAGTGAAGCTGATGAATTCCAGTTGTTGAAACTGGATGAAGTAGAAAAAACATTTGTCAAATGAAATTATCAAAATCGAAAGTTCTTATTTGTTTTTCATCCTCTCTGATTTCAGCACAAGAAATTGTAGGAGGTGGTCAAGCACGTTCATTTAAGGGGTCACAGCATTTCTTTCTTTCATAAGCAGCAATCAAGCACGTACCATGGCCATTTAATGTTCCATTGAATGCATGATGGTAATAATATGACAGTTGACGCACACTGAAGCAGGTCAACGTATGTTTTGCATTTGCATTCTGTAGGAAACACCAGCGTTACACGAGTCCTGTGTTGAGTTAGAGAGACTCAATAGAATATGATATTTAAAGGTCATACTAATGTATAGTTGACAGACGACATGATAAGGTGAATTAAATAGTCACAAATGTCTGAATGAGCCCCTCTTTCTTAGTTCATCTAGATAAGAAGATGAATTCAATTTATTCTTCATTTTATTCAAATCCCCTAATTAAGGTGTATAAGTAAATTTAATTTATGTGAATAACCTGAACTGGAAATGAAGTTAAAATTGGATCTTATCCTCTTTAAAGAACAGAACAAAGTACATTATTCATCTGCCTAGTCAAATGCAAAAGTATAATTTGAGTGCCCAGTGGGACGGCATCACTCCTGCAGTTTCTGAGGTTGTAGGGAGTATTGAACTGTAGGGTGTTTATGGCGTTACGGTGTTGCACTAACTATGATGTTGGTTATAGGGCTAAAATGTCACACATTTATATACCAAACATTCTAATGCAATAATGCAATAGGGCTGATTCTTACCTTAGTTTTTTTATATATATAGTACTTTGCAAAATGCTTAGGAACGTTAGTATTTTCACAAAAAAAATATATATATTCTAAGCCAGTTAGTTATATATTTTGCTGTAGTGTGTCAGTAATATCACTTTACATTTCCAAACATTCATTTTGCCATTAATTGTAATAATCCAGTGAGTTTTGTATGCTCAATGAGTCTGAAAACAGCCGGTATGATCTGATCTCACTATCATTGAGTCTGTCTGTGATTACATGAAGAAACAGAAAAAACTGAGACTAAATCCAGAAGAACTGCAGCAACGTCTCGAAGACGCTTGAAGAAACATTCCTGCATTAAAGTGTGTTGGTGTTTTAATTTGTTGGGTTGTATCTTTCTGCATACTAATGTTGCATACAATCTTATTTAAACATGTAATCTTTAATGTATTTAAGCAAAACAAAAGCCTGCTAGAAGTGATTTTTGGACTGTTCCCATGGTAACAAGGGGGCGTGTGAGATAGAGACAGAGGGTTGGAAAAGGAGACAACCTCTGTGAAAAGCATCTCATGAGCGCTGTAGACGTGTTATTATCAGAGACATGGCCTCTCTATGTGCCAGACGGGAGAACAAGGGCTGCACAACACCTTCTCACATTATCATGAAGCGATAAAACTGAACGGGTGATGAATATGGAGTCCTGGAAAGCGTTTCAGAAGAAACACAGAGGGTGATCCACAGGAACATTAGAAGGGAAGATAAGATCCAGCGCTGTTGGAAATACTCTCTCTCTCTCAAACACACACACACACACACATGCAACTTAATCAAATAGACTATAAGCAAACTGAATCCCAAATGCGTGTGAAAGAGCGGCAACCAAACACCATACCAAAAATATAGCAAAATTGGATATTTTAATTCTGTTTGTATATATATATAGTGTGTGTGTGTGTGCGTATACAGGTGAAACGCGAAAAATTAGAATATTGTGCAAAAGTTAATGTATTAAAGTAATTCAACTTAAAAGGTGAAACTAATAAATTATATTGACTCATTACATGCAAAGTGAGATATTTCAAGCCTTTATTTGTTATAATTTTGATGATTATGGCTTACAGCTTATGAAAACCTTTTCACAATATTCTAATTCACAATATTCGAGTTTCACCTGTACATACAGTATGTGTGTATACTGTATATGGATGAATGGATGGATGGAACGAAAAAATTATGGGTAACATTTCACCAAAATGTTTCATTAGTTTAGTTATCAACTTTAGTTAACATGAACTAAGAGTGAACTGCATTTCTACAGCATTTATTAATCTTAGTTAATGTAAATTTCAACATTTACTAATACATTATTAAAATCAAATGTTGTATTGGTTAACATTAGTTAATGCACTGTGAACTAACATGAACAAACAATGAAAAGCTGGATTTTGATTAACTAACATTAACAAAGATGAATAAATTCTGTAACAAATTCTTCATTGTTAGTTCATGTTAGTTAATACATTAACTAATGTTAACTAATGAACCTTATTGTAAAGTGAGTTACACTTTATTTTAAGATGTCCTTGTTACAGCACTGTAAAAAATTATCGTGATTTTAACGGTAAAAGACTGTAAAAATGCTACAGTGAAAAACTGTTAATTGGTTAACAGAAATGTATGTACATTAGTTATGTACATTAGAGTTTTATGTTACATTTAATGTTGTTAATTTAATGTTTATTGCATTTTTTAAATTTCATGTGTTACCATGATGCTGTTTAGTGTTTGAGCGAATGACACTGTGCAGCTTCTATATATAGTATTAATTTTCTTGTGAATGAGCTGCTTGTGATGAGCTTTGATTTATCATGTGACTTT